GATTATTTCTGGAGGTGATGGTGGATGAAGGTGAGAGACCAGTCCTGATATATTTCTGTACCATCTTCATATATATATACATACAGTGAATGTGCATTTGATATGTAATTAAATAATTCAGATGAAATAAGCACTCACCATCTTACTGAACTTTGCAGACTCTCTGACTCAGGGACACAGAATCCCAGAGAAGTTAGGACATTTGCACAGGTAGGGGCACCGCCAAGACTAGAACCCAGGTCTCCTGACTTCTGATTCAGAATTCCTCCCTGTGACCTTCCGGCGGCCCCACCTCCATACAGTTACCGATCAGGAAGACAGTGACCACCCTACCACCGAAAGCCTGTGGCAATTTGCAGAGACTGCCCCTGGGAGACTGCACAGGGATCGGAAGGCAGGCCCCTGGGAGGAGCTTCCAAAAGACAACAGCACAACCGCTTGGGGATAAACCCCATGACCCACAGAAAGTCTGAACGCCCCCCCTCCCCAACTCGTGTCATTTAGCAGTGAGGAAAAGCGAGTTATGGAAGAAAGATCCTCCTATCCAAGGAACTCTTCTTGGAAACTTCATCACTGGTACTAAATCGGTTGGTTGAAAATTCTTTTTTTTTTTGAGAATTTAATGTGTGTTTGAGTTGTTTTTCCCTTTTTCTTGTGCCTGTTGCTTAAACAACCTTCGGGCTTCAACCAAGTAAGTACAAGGCCAATAAAATGCAATACAAAAGCAAGCCTCAATAAATTAATGAAAATAACACACAGAGGGCACCCTTATCTTGCAATGGGAGGAGGAGACGTTGTTTTTCAGCAAAGGTCTCGCCTTGTTTGGGATGACTGTGGGAGGGAGGTCAGGGAGAAGGAGCACCCGCTGACCAAGACAAATGGGAGAGGGAAGGAAAAATACCCTCTCTGAAAACAGAGCGCGGTGGCTGCGATGCCCGCTGTCCTTCGGCTCAGAGCTGCGTTCAAGGATGAACGGGACGTGTTGAGGAGCCAGGCTAACCCGCAGGGGCCAAACCATCCGGGACCTTGGAGGTGAAACGAGTTCAGCCCAGCCTTCAGGCTTTGCTGGAAATGTTCTATATCTTCTACCTCATTTCTAGTTCCGCGGGTGCGCCCTCCTCCCTGTCATGCAGAGGGCTGCTTGAGGGCAGCATCCAGACCTCGCCTGTCTTAGTGCCTCTCGCAGTGCCTATCACAGTAGCACCTTCTTGGCAAATGGGCAGTGAATGTGTGTTAAGCGAAGGAATCACATTTAAGGCAAGAAATACATTGTGCATGGACTTTATTAGTTGGCTTTTGAGGAGGGGTGGGGAATTGGAGATGGGTAGGAAGTAAAGGATCCAGTAAAAGATCGTCAGGCTGTGTCCCCGACTCACAGAGCTTACAGACAAGTCCAAGACACACTGAGGAGTTTCTTAACCATTTAGCTCCTTGCCCCGGGGCCTGTTCATTTCTATGGGTTGTGGACAAACTGGAGACTCAGTCTTCTTCTGTCCCTCACCCCCACGGGCCCGGCCAGGCCAACCGCAGGAGAACAGGAGCACACGGGTGGGAAAAGCAGCGGGCCCACAGTGCAGTGGCTGGTTTAGGCTCCTACACTCCAGTTGGGTCCTCAGGAATCGAGGACAAGGGCCAAGGCTGAGGTCCAGGGGTGGAGATGGGGCAAGGCGCCCACAGGATGAGCAGAAGCAGGAAGAGCAGAAGGCAGATTTCAGCCAAGGCCCTTAAAGAGTGCAAAAGATCAACCCGAAGGAAGCAAGTTCAGGTGTCAGGTCCAAAGGGCAAGAGGAGGACTGTAAGTGGGAGAGGACCCAGGTGGCTCTGGAATGGAGTGGGAGCAGGCTGGGCCAGAAATGAGTGGCCCGGAGTGTCAGCACGGGACACCAGAGATGCCAGCTGTGAAGGTGTGGATGGCTTAGGTTAGCACAAAAGCTCTGGACCAGGGCAGACAGGCACATTGCACGTGACCATACAGCCCTTGTCCCGATGCTTAAAACAAAGCGCCGCAAGGTAGCTCCGACCCCAGGAAGGGGAGCGCCAAGTGTGAATGCTTCCTAAACCCTTCTCTGGCCAGCAGCCCTGCTCCAGGACACGCTTCCCCCCACCAGTTGCATACGGAGAAATAGATCTATCCTCAGATTTATGTCTGCCTCCCTTTTGGTGATAAAATGGCTTGTCTTTTATGAAATCACGGTGATGGTAGTGATGAGCTTTGTGGTTGTGTGAATGGCCTCACTTGGCTAAATTAAAATGTTGGTAACATTGGTCCACAGATTTATGGGGGAGGGAGGTGGAAAATAAAGCATCATTAAATCCCAGTCTGGTTATTTCTGCTCTCAGAACTGAAGTCCTGTCCCCAAACCCCAGACTCCGGCTGCCAAAATGACATCACCATCACCAACAATAACAACAACACAGCACTTGTATGGCACGCACTTCTCCTCCCCTTGTTCTGATGTCCTGCCCACCCAGATGAAGCCAATATCTGGATCTGGCCCTTCCTACACTGACCTAGCCCACTGTCAGCTGAACCCCGGTTCTTTTTCTGTTATCCTCACCAGAGGACATGCTCATTGATTTAAGAGGGGAAGGGGTGGGAGAGAAAGAGGGAGAGAAACGTCATTCAGTTGCCTCTCCCATGTCCCCGACTGGGGAACGAACCTGCAGCCTAGGTATGTGCCCTGACCGGGAATCAAACCCACAACCCTTTGATTTATGGGATGCCGCTCCAACCAACTGAGTCACACCAGCCAGGGCTGACTTCCTGCTCTGATGGCTCTCCTACTACTTGTTTCATGTCTTCACTGACTCCAGCCACTTAGAAAGTAAAGTTCTGCCTCAAAATTTCTAGCCAGTGGCTGTGTCTCCACGCGCTGGCGCCCAGTCCTCCTCCCCAGACCCTTTCATAACTGCCTGGTTGAGCCTCCTACCAGCTCCTCTGAATACCGAGCACCAGCCCCGGAAAGAGAGCCACCTGCTGCCTAACTGCTGGCCCCCAAGCTAACTGTCTGTCCAGCCGTTTCTGACCCTCCTTGGCCCTCAGCCCACCCTCCCATTAATCTGACTCTCCTGCTTGCTTCCTGCTAAAATCTTCCCCGAACAAACACTCCCCCGCTGTTTCTGGTTTCTGGGAATAGCCCTCATCGTGCCTCCTCTGAATAAAGCAGACTTGGAACCAAATACTGTACTTCCAGGCCTAGGCTCGCTGCTTTCACAACCCTTTACTTGCATAACCCTGTGCACTTTGCCATCACCTTATGAGGCAGCTACTGTTGTTATCTCCATTTTCCAGATGCGCAAACCCAAGCCCAGAGAGGTCAAGTTATTTGCCCAAGGTCACACAGCTAGGAAGTGGCAGAAATGAACTCTGAACCCAGGTTCTAGAGGCCTGTCCCTTAACTACCACACTACCTGGCTTCTCTCTAAAGTCGAAGAAGCCCTGCCCTGGGAAGTTTGGGATCAGATGAGTCTCATTGGCTTACAAGCTCCATGACTGTGGAAAGTCGCTGGTTCTCCGAGTCTCTGCTCCTGCATCTTCCACGGTTCTGGAAGGCTCAACGCTCGGCGTGTGGTGGACACAGTCATGGACCCCGCCCTTTCCTCCGTTAAAACCCCGGCAAAGCACAAACATGTCGTGAGTGGGGCCTAGGTATTTCATTCAGGCCTCTGGAAATGTCAGGCACAAACGAGAAGAATAAGTTCTGTGTGTAAAGCGTTCTGTGGCTGAAGGAGGAGGAGAATGTGGTCTGAAGCGTGGGGTCTCGGGTCTGGCTGCCCAGGTTTAAGTCTGGGCTCCGACCTGTTTGTGATTTGGGGCAAGTTTCTTAACTTCCCCATGCCTTGGTAACCTCATCTTTAAGGAGGATGACAAGCATAATAACGTGTATCTTACGTAGGGTTTCTGCTAATTACAGAGTTTATACATACATATAGATATATCCCCCATATGTATATATGTAAAGCCCTTAGAACATTGGCAGACACACACTGTTAGTCTCTGGGGATACGGCCACTGGCTGTCACTACCATTTTGTAGTCAAGAAAACTACGATTCCAGTCGGTTGAACGATGTTCCGCACAGCGCGGCTTTAGCAGAGTGGACCGGGATTGAAATCCAGACCCTCTGGTGACAGACCTGGCAGCTCCTCCATCTCTTCCAGGACTTTCTTATTTCCATCTCTGGTGTGACTGCTGTTGGCTGTGACTCCCAGGCCAGCAGTGTCTAACCTCATTAACCCACTCCTGCAAGAGGCAGGCTCCTCCTCCAGGCTTTGTTCGCAGGCCTGCGCCCATTCAGCAGCCTGTCCACCTCCACCTCCACGCCGGAGCGCTGCAGAATACTGCCGTCAGCGGGGAGGGCATCTACCTCCATCAGGTGCCTAATTATGCAAATCCTGAACACAGGAAAGAAGGGGAGACTGCGGCCTGCCAAGGATGATTGATGAGGCTGGCTGCTTCCATCTCCCCTGTTGTACAGGCCGGAGGCATTACCGTGAGAGGAGCTCAGCCAACCTATCTCACAGTTGCTTTGTTGCAGAGGCTGGGGCGAGGAAGGCTGCACCGGGTTAATATAATTCTCCGGTGACTCATCCGAGGAGAGGGCCTGTGATGGATCATTAAGCTGTCTTAGAACTTATTTCAAGCCCACGCCCCCAGGATGAACACTCTCAGTTTGTTTATCGGGTCTCCAACAATAGGCCACTATTGTCCTGCCCCACAACTTGGTTACACAATCTTTCCCCTTGTGCCTTTCAGCCACCTACTGAAAATCTGTCTGCACACTGAGTGCGCGCTCCCATCCCTTTGCCGAGTGCTCGGCTGGCGTGTCATCTCATCTTTGGGGGTGCGCTTACTGCCTTCTTGACAAGCTCCGCTCCGCTCACCAGGATCCCCCTGAAACGGAGGCACTTAGTCTCCTGTCCTGAGGCCCCCGAGAGCAGATTCTCCCCCCACCCCCCGCCTCACCCTGCTGCCAAATCTCCTCACCCGCGCTGACTCCACACAGGGTCTGGACCTCTGAGTTATCCACCTCCTTGCGCCTGATGGTTGTCCTGGGTCTTCCCATTACCTTCCAATCCTCTTTGATCTGGTTCCCCTTCTGATTCTTGGGCTGATTTCTTCTCATTGTTTAATTCTTTTAAAAAATATATAAATAATTCATGTTTATTGTCGAAACAAGACTACAAATTACCCATAATCCTGCCACCTAGAAATAATCTCTACAAACATTTGGGGGTCCCTACTCTTGGACCTGCTTCCTCACACTCCGAAGTTGACCTCTGTGCCCTTTCTGGCTTGTGTGTGGATCTCGACTTTGGAGTCGCCTTCCTCGTGACCTCAGTGTAGCTCCCAAATGTCTTCCTGGCATTTGTGGAATAGCGCCCTCCTGGCCTCCTGAGTGAGCAGACCAAGACACTAAGGCCACCAGGTCATTCCTCTGTTTGCAACCTTCCATGGCTCACCATCACCTTAGGGATAGAATCAAGATGCCCCAGACTCGCACCCATTGTTCTTCGTGACGTGAGCCTGGCCTGCTCTTCCTGTCTCTTCACTCGCCTCCCCGCTGAGGGTGTTCACTGTCTGCCCCGGTCAGGATTTGACCCCCCTAGGAGTGGGACTGCTCTCGGCACCCCAGGATTTTTGCACCTGCTGCTTCTGCTGCCTGGCATGAGCGTCCTTCCCCCCTCCTTTGTCCAGATAATTTCTACTCTTCCTTTAAGACTTAGTCCAGCATCGCCTCTTCCAGAAGCCTTCCTTAACCACCTCACCTCCAATTTTGTCCCACCTGAGTTCAGCGCTTCCTCTCGGGGAGGACCCGACATGTCACCTATAGTACCTGACGCAACTAAACATCTGCTGTCTTGTCTCTCTCTCTCCCTCGAGAGGCTGTGAACTCTACGAGGGCAAGTACTGGGTTTGTTTGTTTAACTCTGGTTTTCTAGCCACTAACCAAATGTCCAGCCCACAGTCTACGTTCAGTTTAGAGCTTTTTTTGCTGGGCCCTGGCCGGTGTGGCTCTGTTGGCTGGAGCACTGTGCTGTAACTGAGAGGCTGTGGGTTTGATTTCTGGTCAGGGCACATACCTAGGTTGCAGGTTTGATCCCCGGTCCAGGGGTGTACAGCAGGCAACCGAGTGATGTTTTTCTCTCACGTTGATGTCTCTCTTTCTCTTCCTTCCTCCCTTTCTCTCTCTCTCTAGAAGCAATGAAAAAAAAATGTCCTCAGGTGAGATTAAAGACCTTTTTTTTTTTTTTTTGCTGGCTAGAATGTAAGAACTATACCTGTAGCAACCCCATAGTATTCTTGCTCAGGAAGTGAGCATCTTTATTGGATCTAGGTGTGCCTCACATTTCAAAATTAAATCAGACTCTAAGATTGCACACACCTAGGATCACAATGCTTTACGTTATGTAAATCACCCCATTTAATATCATTTCAACTTCATAGCATCCGCGTGAGAAACGAATTATTTTCATTTTACAGATTGGTCAGGTTCAGGGACACAGCAGCATCTTCAAAACAGTAAACAGCAAGATCAGAATTTGAACCAAGTTCAAAATCAACATCATTCTCTAAAACAAGGATAGAGCTTCGATCGTCGTTAAGGTTTTTGGACGCAGAAGTTTGCTTCCCCATCTGGATCCTTGTAATCTAACAGTCAGGTAGTCCTGGGTTCACGTCCTCCTCAAAGGTAACCGGGAGCTTTATGCATGAACTGTGGCTCCATGGGTGAATCTCTTTCCTGCTGACCCTCAGCACCACCGTTGTCACCACGTGGCTCAGGTCCTGTCCTTTCCGGTCCCTCATCTCACAAGGGTGATAAACTTTCTCCAGTCACCTTTCCTTAACCAAACACTCTCTGCCCATTCTGAAGAAATGCTGCATTGCAACCCACAAATAAGGCACTGCCAATCCGGGGGACGTAGAGGGTACCTTGACCTGCCTTTAATATCTTAACAGAAGGACTCTGATACTGAAAGTTCTTTATGGGTGGAAAAGTGTCTTGTTAGACTCCATAGGCTCTCATTCACTCATTCGTTCAAAGAATGTTTATGGAGGATCTAATCATCAGAGTTAATAATAGTAGCTAACACTTACTGAGAGCTTACTATGTGAGAGGCACAGCTCTACATGCTTTAGAAGTAGTAACTCATTAAATCCTCATTGTTGAGGATTCCCACAGGCAGGAACTATTATTATGACAGTTTTATGAATGAGTAAACTGAGAGACAGAGAGGGTAAGTAACTTGTCCACGGCCACACAGCCTATGGTACACTGCCTCCCTGCCATGCATCATGCGTAAGGCTCTCTGCCAGCTTTCCGTATATAAAAGTAGGACACAGGCCCTGCCCCTAAGGAGCTTATGGCTCATACAAAAGACACAAAAATTGCAACCACTCTGTGATCGTCCATGGTGCTGGAGACACATGCAAGATGAAAAGACACACAAGGACATGATGTTTGATGGCTAGTTGATGACATCATGGAGGAGGTGACATTTCAGCTGGGTCTTGAAGGACTAGTATGAGTTCAGTAGATTGGAAAGGGTGGGTTTCTAGGGGCGAGTAACTTTGGCAGAGGGGAGAGAAGATGCAAAGCACGGAGGCAGAAAAAGAAGAACTCGCTTGAAGAACAGTGAGCCGTTCCAAGGGATTGGCTCACAGGGTCCATAGGGAAACGCAGCAAGAAATAGGCTGGAATAGTAGGTTGGGCCAAACCGTGGAAGGTCTAAGGGAATTGTACTCTATGTTGTGAGAAATAGAGAGTTATGAACATATTTTAACAAAGGAGTGGCGTGATTAGATTTGTGTCGTGCCTGTGAGCAGTGAGGAAGATGGGCAGACAGATGGAGAGAGAGTCAAACCGGGGAAGCCGGGAAATCAGTCAGCCCATTCCTGTTTGGAACGAACCAGGCAGAAACGGTCCCCCTAAGAAGCCATTGGTTGGAGAAGTATTTTAAGAAGTAGAGTCGGCAGAACTCGAGGACCCTGAAGCTTCTCACTTGGGCCTTGTGTAAGTGGACTGGCACTAACCTTGCAGTGGGCATCCAGCCCCCGGTCAGACACGGGCCTGCCCTTGCAGAGCCCACGGTCCAGTGGGTGAGGCAGACCAGGAAACAGACAATCACAAGACAAAGGCGTGCGTGGGCCACCCACAGAGCCCAGTCCTTGGCACCTGATGGTGATGTCAGAGCAGAAGCAGCACTCGTCTCCCCTCCACCCCTTGGACGGTCACTCTACCTCCCCTCCCCTCGGGTTGTCCAGTTGTCTCTCCCCCAGGGCAGAGGCCAAGCGTCTGGTGTGCCTATTTGGGGCTGGCAGGGCTGGAGCCGGGGCACAGCTCCTATTAAAACAGTGCAGAAACTGGGCATCCCAGGGTTTTAGCCCTGTCAGTGTCTGTCCAGGAAACGCCACTAGGACAGAGTAGAAACCCCTGGTCCGAAGGGCCAGGGCTAGGGAGACAGGGCCGAGAGTTTGGAGGTGGGCAGATAGGAGGCCAGGACAAGCCAGAACATGCAGGATGATTGCTGCAAACCCGGGGTGGGGGTGGGAGGCCTGCTGTTTCCCCTAATGGGCTGGCGTACACACGCTGCATGGGCTCTGGGGGCTGGCAAAAAGGGTCAGGGGTGCCTTTCCCACACACTGCAGAGAAGTGGCTGGCCTCCCATGTAAGCCACACCCGTTCACCTAGGTGTGCGGTGGATTGCCAGGAATGAAGGGTTATTCTTCCCGGTTGTTTTAGCAGGAGGCAAGTTGCAGGAGACAGAGGGAGGCAGCGAGAGAGGAGCCCAAAGCACCGATAGCAGGGCCTGGGAGGAGAGGGCCGCCCGCCACTCTCCCTCTCCAGTTGCTTCTCTCTTTACAAACACAAAGGAATGAACCGGGTCAGCAAAGCTGGAGGCTGTGTTTAAGCTGCTCGTGCTGCTGAGCAAAGCAGGCAGTGCCTGCTGGATCAGTTGGGACACCCACAGAATGCAGGGCCCCTCTCAGGACAGGGTATGCACACTAGGTCAGCCGCAGGGGCAAGGAGCTGGGCAGAGAAGATCATGGGAAGTGGGAGGCTCAGCGAATAGGAAAGACAAAGGAGACTGGGGAAGAAGGATGGAAGTCAGGGCTCCGTTTTCTGTCTGTGCTTCCTGCAGCTCTGCTCGCAGCAGCCTCAGGCCACAAAACGGCTCCTTGGAAAGGCCGAGGAGGAGGGAGGGAAGGCTGCATGGGGCACCCCCCACCACCACCTGGGGAGTGTGTGGCCTGACCTTCCCCGATGGGAGATAGCAGGTCCCTGAGCTGTGGAGCGAAGGGAGGTGCCCAGGAAGGGAGGGGCCTCGGGAGGAGAGCTGGCAGCTGTGGCCTGGGGTCCTCACCTCTCTGCAGCTTTGCATCGATCATTCGTTGCTGTCTCTTCATTGTATTAACTTTACTTTGTAACTGGGTTGATCAGCAATTGTTCTTCCTGGAGGGTGCAATTAGGATTATAAATAAAGGCAAGTGGAGAGTCTGGGTGACCAAACTGTGCCTTCTGGGCTGTAATGAGCCCAGGGCCCCGCCCCCACCCCTCCAGAGCACCCTCCCTGGAGAGCCCATTTTCTAGAAATAGTCTTGCTGCTTCCTGGGCTCAAACGGAAAGCTGAGGTCTCAGAGACTCCTCACACTTCATGGTTTGGAAGGAATCAAGCTTGTAAACCTTGACCTTCTAGGGACCAATTAGCTTTGGGTATTAACGGTAGGAGCATTTAAAAAACAGTTTTTTTAAAAAAATTTATTTTAGAGAGAGAAGAAGGGAGACAGAGAGAAATATTGATTTGTTGTTCCACCCATTCATGTGCTTATTGGTTGAGTCTCTCTTGCACGTGCCCTGACCAGGAATCAAACCCACCCCCGTGGAATATCAGGACGATGCTCCAACCAGCTGAGCTACCCAGCCAGGACCCTAGGAGCCTCTTAAATTTAGAGCCCACGTGCATCCCAGAAGTCACTGCTTCTACATGAAACCTCCCTGGGCAGAGCGTACGTTCCTTCCCACGTGTCCCACTCGGGCTGAATCCCCTCACTGTCCACCCTCACATGCCCACCTTTGCTTGGTCTAGTATTTGTCCTCTGCTATCTTAAATCATGCGCATCATTGTGCCATTCTGGAATCGCAGATCATTTGGGGCAGGAATCACATCTTTGAGGGGGTTTTTAAGGGCCATCTAAGGACCATCTGCAGAGCATACACTAGGTGGTGGAGGTGCTGCGGCACACCTGGCTGCGTGTTCACACCGGCGCTGCCCAACGGAGCCCTCTGCGATGTGGGAAACGTCCCGTGTCTGCGCTGTCCTCTGCGGCAGCTGCCGAACCGCATGTGGCTATGGAGCCTTTCAAATGTGACTGGTGCAAGCAAGGAGCTAAAATCCTGCATTTATTTCATTTTCACTTATTTCTTTTATATTTAAATAGCCATATGTGTTGTCCAGGCTGGTGTGGCTCAGTGGATTGAACACCAGCCTGTGAACCAAAGGTTACTGGTTCAATTCCCAGTCAGGGCACATGCCTGGATTGTGGGCCAGGTTCCCCGGTGCGGGGTGTGCAAGAGGCAACCACACACTGATGTTATTATCCCTCTCTTTCTCCCTCCCTTCCCCTCCGTCTAAAAATAAAGAAATAAAATCTTTTAAAAATATTGTATTTATTTATATTTTAGAGATGGTAAGGGAGGGAGAAAGAGAGAGAGAAACATCAATATGTGGTTGCCTCTCATGTGGCCCCCCAACTGGGGACCTGGTCTTTAACCCAGGCATGTGCCCTGACTGGGAATCGAACCTGGGATGCTTTGGTTTGCAGCAGGCGCTCAATCCACTGAGCTATGCCAGCCAGGGCAATAAAATCTTAAGTAAATAAATAGCCACATGTGGCTAGTGGACACCATATTGGACAGCACAGGTTTGGAGTAAGACATTTAGAATCAAAGCTAACCTAAAGAGACACCTTCCTGTACCAAATTCAACGCTTCACAGCTATAGTGCAATTTTTGAGTAAAATGAATGCTAACGGGAATAACAAGAAGGGGTTAAATGCTATTCGGATAGCTTAGACTGGAGCGATAGCACCGGTTCATCATCCCAGTCGAGGCCACGTTACCTGTGGACTCACTTAAAATGCATGGGCATTGGCAGGATGGTGAGGAGGAATGCTTTCTGAGGAGCCCGCGTGTGAAATCTGTGAGTGAGCTGTCCCCCGGGCTGGGGGGCCGTGTTTTCCCAAGCGGGGGAGGATAGTTTCTTAGGTGTCCTGCTATCTGAGAGCAATGACAGCCCAAGAATCTTACAATGAAGAAGACTGACTTTATCCCGAGGGAGGCTGGGGTTGGTCCCACCCCCCAAACTTCAGAACAGGGCGGGGACTAGGATAGGACCCTATCTGCAGATGCGCCAGGCTTCTGGGTTGTTTTAAACTCTTGTTCCAGTGAAAGATCCTTCTCCATGTACTTTCCCACCTCTGGGCAATTAGCAAGCTATCTCAACACAAAAAGAAAGCTTTGTCTTTTCTCTCTGATCAGCAGCACCCTTTGGAGTTATCCGGGGGGCCGGGCACCGTGTAACGACTGGTGGCAGAGTGGGAGCATGCGGCGGGGAGCTGGGAGCTGGGAGCTGGGCTGGGACCCTGGCAGCAAAACGGCACAGCTCTGCGGCTGCCCACACCGCCTGCTCCGGTGTCGGCCTGCACTGGTGAGGAGGAAGGACTTGGAACAGAAGCGGCCACGGCCCCAGGCCCAGCCGGTTTTACCCGGGGCTGGGCAGGGGGATGGGTGCAGAGGGTAGGCGGGGGAGGCAGGGTGAGACTCCGGAGCGGCAGTAGCTCTGTTTAAAGACACTCTCACAGGATGGTAAGAACCAGCAAAAGGAAAATAATTACAGTGTTTTAGCCAGCGATGCATCTGCTTAAACTCAGGTATAAATAGATCCTTAAGCTCTGCTCTACCCAGCACAGCCACTCTAATCTCAACCAGGAGCAGCCACCGGGGGGTGGGGCGTGGGGGGTGGGGGGTGGGGGTGGGGGTGGCGGGTGCAGGAAGAAGAGTTCTCCGAGGAGGCCTCATTCTCTCCGAAGCGCCAAACCGCCTTACCAAACCTGCTCAGTCCCTGGGGAGGAGAACAGGCCCAGACGTAGGACAGGAAGGGCTGCATTCACAATTCCTTCCTGCCCGTACATTGTAAAACGGTGCAACCATTTTGGGAAACCGTTCTTACAGGGTGAAACATACGCTTATCATCGAACCCAGCGGGCCGGCTCCGGGTGCTGAGGCGGGAGAAAGGAGGCCATCCCCGCACACACAGACACACCCCCGTGTCCGCAGCGGCTTTGTTCACAGGAGCCGCCGACCGGACACAGCCCGATGCCCAAACACAGGGGACGGGCGGAGAGCCTGCGGCCTCCCCCACGCACTCGGCAGCACAAAGGAGCGGGCGGCCGGGAGACGTGATGACAGGGGTGGAACCTGAGATTCATACGCCGCGTGCAGAAAGTCAGACGCAAGAGTACAAACTCGTACGGTAACACACGAAACAGATACATCTGATCTCTAGGGACAGAAAGTGGATCAGTGAACGCCTGTTGGGGGTAAGGGGGGGTACTGGCTGAGAAGGGGGCCCCAGGGAGCCTTTGGGGGTGATGGGAATGTTCTATGTCTTGATTATTGTGGTAGATACATCAGCATTTATAACTCACTGAACAGTTCCCTTCAAATGGGTACATGTCGCTGTATGTAAATAAAGACCTCGACAAAGTTGATTTAAAAAAATAATTTATTCCCAAGGGCCTGGTTGGGGGCACTGGAGCCTCCATCTTGTCAGAAGCGGCCACGGGACAACCAGCAAAGCACCCCCTGGGGCCCGACACCTTTCCGGAAAGCCAGTCAAAGATCAGGGAAGCCTCCACAAGGCCCAGCGATACTGCCAAGCTGGAAAAACGGCTCCCCGGCAGCCTGGAAAAGGCCCCCCTCTCTGGCCCTCCATCCTGAAAAGGCTGGAATTTCTGGCTGAACAGGAAGGCCTGGGCGCAGTCTCTGGGCAGTCTTCCTCCGCTCCGGGCAGGGCGCCCAGCCGTCCCTCCCGTCGGTGCGGGCTTGCTGCCCCAGCACAGGACCCAAGGGCTGGGGACAGCCCCCCTGGGGGCAGGGGAGGGAAGCGGACGGTGGCCTCTGCCCACAGAGCAAGTTTGCAGGGAGGGAGGCAACACCCCAGCACCCACCCAGCTTCCCAAACAACCTCTGGGTCAAGTTACCCGGAGACTCCCCGAGACCTTGACCGAACCTGGGGATGGTTTAACAGCCCCAGAGAGAGCCAGGGAGTCAGTGACAGGACAGGGCATGGGCTTTGAACCGGACCTTGGACTCTTAGCCCAGTGCCCTTTCCCCGTACCAGCCTAGGTTCCCAGTCTCTTGCTGGGGGAGGAATTTTTCATGGGGTTGGTTCCAAGCAAGAGCTTTCCAGGGCAGGGCCTATGATACAAAGGGACTGTCTGTCACTGTGGCTGGTGGCCCACAGAGAGGCTGCTGCTGCTGCTGGTAGTTTGTCCAAGGGCAACCCTGACCCCCAGGCGCGCACCTCGCCTTTGCCCAGTGCCTGAGACCAGAGCAGCTGAGACCAAGGTGTTCCCTTCAGACCCTTCCGATCTGCAGTCCAGGGCCCCTGGGGACCCAGCCAACCCCTGGTGGGATACAGAGAGGGTGGGCCCAAGACCACACCTGGCCTTTCGGACCACACGGGATCCTCCAGGGTCTCAGGAGCCCCACCTCCTCTGCTCTGTCTGGTTCTACCTCTGTCTCTGCCTCTCTGTCTCTCTCTGTCTTTGTCTCCCCTCCCCCATCCCTGTTGTCACCTGCACCTGTTTTTCTGCCTCCCTCAATCTCTCTAATCCACAGGCTGTTAATTCCCAGGGGTCCCCTTCCCTTATCTCCTAGGCAGCTGCTGGCCCTGGCCTGGAGGGACAGAATTAGTTAGCGCTTTCCCTCCTCCCACCTGCTGCACTCCCAGCAAACTGTGGGCAGCAGAACGCCAAGGAGAGCCCAGGGTGATGGCTCAGGAAGGGGGGCGCCTGGCCCTCCCCGCTGTGGGACCCCCACCACAGGAGGTGGCCCCATGATGGGACCCGCAGGTGGGCAGTCGCCCCTGCCCCTCCGTTTTCTCCTTGGCAAAATGAGAGCGTCTGAACTGTGTAGTGTCTCGGCTCACACAAACAAACACACAAGCGCACAGAGGCCATGTTTTCAAAGTTGAGGGCTATCAGGTTACATTTATTCAGTAATGATTAATTCAGAAGCTGACTTCGCAGGGAACAAAACCAACCAGGGCTTCTGAGCAGCGTGCCATGGTTTTGTTCCACAGAAAACAGGTTTCTGAATTAGTGGTGACCAAATAATTGTACATCTAGCATGTTCCCCGCTATAGTTCCAGCAAAGAAACTTGACATTTTAGTTAAGCCCGTGTAGCCTTCACTCAGATACATGTTCTATTTCTGCGA